GATATTTTTCCATTTTTTGTACAGATAGAGTGGGAGGGAGAGAGAGAGAGAAACATCGACGTGAAGGGACACATCGAGTGGCTGCCACCCGCACGACCAACCAGGGCCGGGGACAAACTGCAACCGAAGTACGTGCCCTTAGCGGGAACCGAACCCGGGTCTCTCCGGACCGCAGGCCGACGCTCTAACCGCTGAGCCAAACTGGCCAGGGCTTAGCTCAATTTCTAACTGTAGATTTAAAAAAATAAATTTTTGGAGGGTACACAAAATAAAATGCCATGTCAAAGCAATGCCATAACTATTTTTCTCACTGAATAATGTACATATAAAACACTATAATGAAAGTCATCCAGAGAAGAAGATTGAAATGGTAAAGTACCCAGAACATTTAACACATGAAAAAAATGGAGAAACCACAGTTAGAAAACAATGTTTGTTTTAGAACTATATCCACAAATTTGAAGATAAGTAAATTTCTAGGTAATAAAGGAACTTTCTGGTCATTAGAACTTTCCTTATAGAATGAACTGCCTTATAATGTGGTAAACTCTCAGTCAAGGGAGAGGTCAAAGCTGAGTTTGGAATATAATCTCTTAAGAATATGACAGAGGTGAGGCATGGTAATTTATCTACTACATGGCTTCAGTCTGCTCCAATCACATATCTTATAATTCTCTTCTGTAATTGGAAACTCATTACTTTTGGGTAATTTCTTCAAGAGAGCCACAATACAGCACGTAAGTAAATAAATTAACCACGATCATCTTTTTCCCTCTAAACTTTCCATATATTAGTATTGGTGAACTGGGTGTATTTCTGAAAAATTAGCTACATTTCATGTAAATTTCTTAAAATTTCTAGGTGTAAAAAGATCATGTTCAGATTCTAGTCCTGACATTTAACTATATAACTTTCGATTGGTGATAATTTTCCTAGATCTTAGAGGAGCTCAGATTTGGGGTAATAGTCCCTACTTCTTGAAGCATTAAAAAACAAAAAAAAACAAAAAACAAAACATTTTGTTGTTGATTTGGGGAGTCACAATAACTGACTGGCACTATAGCATTTAGTGGGCAAGAACCAGGGATGCTGACAGTCCTGCAGTGCCCAGAATATACCCCTACTCTTTTGAGAAAAGTTGATTAGAGGAATTATAAATTCCTCTTCAGGGCCACATTTTGTGAGGTTTTTCTATTAAAAATATTTAGTTAGTAACATCTTTTATTACCTAAGTCACAGTGAAAGATCTCCCCCAGACCCCATTGTAAGTAGTCAATAATATAGTATATAGTCCACAACCAAATACTGACAATTTGGGATAACCAGGAAAGATTATAAAAGGGTAAGAAAAACAAACAAACAAACAAACAAACAAACTTGTTTTTAATGCATGGATATTAAGAAACTTACTTTAATAAAATTCAAATTAGATGTTGACAGTCTATCTACCCAAGACTCCATGAATAGAATTACAAGTTTAATTCCTACAGCCTTTAGTGGTTTTCTTTTTTTCATCTCTTAACAGAACAGACTTATGCATTTAATTGGTCATTAGGTGTACTTTCATCAAAAGTAAAATATTACTTATAACAGCTATCAGAAATATTTGGTCTTGAAGGTAAAAGGTTAATGAAGTCTAAACAGTTAAAAAGTTTAATAAACCTCTAATTATTGATGCAAAATATTTAACTTTGATAAAATATGCTGAACAACTTTTGGCTTTAGGACTTAAATTATATGTAGATATGTATTTACTTATTTTAATTTTATTTCTTTATATTTTAGGAGATCATCACACACACACGCACACACCATATAGTAAGTTTTGGGAAACTGAAACAAAGGACCAAAATCAACATCTGGATTTTAATCACCTTTGACATTTCCATGAACAGAATTTCTAAGCACAGAATTGTTATTAGGAATTAATGGATATTTTGTTTTTGTTTTACTGCCATACTAGATTGTTCATTACTTCCTTTAAAATGCAAAAGATATACTTTTTAGCCTAAATCTCTGGTTCCAATATTTTATTTACACCAAGAATGTCTTTATACCAATGGTGTTATCAGCACTTATTTCCAGAAACACAGATTGCTAACACTATTTAATGTCCTTTTATATAAACAATAGGAACAATAACATTACATTAAAGATCATTTCATTGACTACTATTGGTTTGGAGTAGATCTTTCATCCTAAAGAACAGGAATTATAATATTTTTGTGTTTTCATTAAAGTTTTACTAAAAAATATTCACATGACTGTATCATATAAAACAATAATTAATAATATACAAGGAAATGTTTATTCCTGAGACTCCATGTTTACAATATAAAATCTCCAGAAAAAAGGAGTGTTTATATGAAATAATGTAATGGCCAGCACAATACTCAAGCATCAATTTTCTTTAGTACAAGTTAAAAAACATTCCTAATATGATTCCTTAAATACAAGCAAACAAAAGCCCTCCTTTTTTTCAAAGCCAATAAATATCAGCGAATCCTTATTGCCAATGGATGTTACTTCATGATTTGTTACAAATTACTAATAAATTCTCTAAAATAATATACATGCCAAAAATAATATTGTTTTTAAATGTTAAAAAACAAGAAAATCAGATTAAAAAGAACCAATCCACAAGTTACTATTTAATTTCCTGAAATTATATGGATAATTTATTTTTATGTGGGTGTGAAAAACTGATACATTGTTCCAAATATAATCTAAAGCATCTGATAAAGAACAGAAATACAAAAGAGACTGGTGTTTGAAGGAGCTAAGTGATGAAGTTAAGCTTATACAGAGGTGTAGCTTCCATTCTAAAATGTCAAAAGACATAGGTCAACTTGATTTAAGCTAAGAATTGGTAAATATTTTAATATAGATTTGTGTTATATAGGAAAGCAAACTCCCAAACCATGAAAGCAATAATCTACCATTTGTTTGTGTCTGCATGGCTCAAAAGGTCAGAAAGGGGATAGTTTATATTTTTTTGGCAGAGATAAAACACAATCCACTATAGAACCTCAGATTTCAAGGAAAACTCCTTCAAATTCAGCAGCTAACAGCTTGTCTCTATTCCCTGTCACTCTAGATCAGAGAAACCCACACTTTTTTCCCCCCTTTCCTGCCCCCCTTCAGTTATACTTGAGCTCTCTGACTGAAAAGGTCTGGAACAGATTAAAAGTCGGGCTACAAAATAAAAGGTTTTGGCATGTTGTCAAGCCTGTCTGGAATACACATACACAGTGGGCCCAAAAAGGGAAACTAAAGGCAGTAAGAGAATTTTATGAAACTTTTTTTTTTTTGGCATATCTAATTGTATGCTTGTGTGTACGTATGTGTTGGGGGTAGGGAAGAAGTTTTTTTTTTGTACTTTCTCTGGTTTAAACAAAAGACCAAGCTATATGTGAAATTAATGAATCTATTTAAGTTCACAGTCAAGTTGTTTTATTTCACTGTTTTAACTGAATATGCTTAAAAAAAACAGCTTTATACCAATTCCTGATTCTGCAGTTCACTAAGAGTTAATCATCGTCTTTCATAACCTTATATTGGGGGTGTGGGTGTGGGTGTAAAAAAACCACAGTACCATTTTTAAAACGTTTCCAAAATGTGGACAAGTTGAATTCATTAAAGATGATTTAAGGAAACATGGCTGTTATCGTTCCAGTCCATACAAATGGCAACATTTATTAAATTCTCTACCTTACTCCGTTTCCTGTTTCAACCACAAGGGCTTATTCAAGTATTAAATAGAATCTGAAGTTGCAAATTATTAACATGCCATGTAACTTTTTTAACACCCAAATAGGTCTTGAAGCTCAAAAGGGTAGCATTTAAGCCAAGCCAGATATCTGTCAAAATGACAGTCTCTGCCCTGATCCCACCTTTGACTTTACTTGAATAGGGGGTGCAATCCATAAAATTGACCGGTTTAAGGTAAACCCAAATGTTGGGGTTATTTAAAGGAATACATAAAGACATAGGAGAACTGTTCATAATATCCCCGACAGGGAAGTTATTTTATCCAACCAGCTCCAGGTAGTTTTTTTCTTTTTCCCCTCAACTGTGTTTTGATGGCATTCACAGAGTTAATTCCTTTTTCCCGTAAGGGCCCCACAGTTGTTGTTAGGTCAACCCCTGTAAAGCTTCAAAGGTTCCGTGTCCCCTCAGTCTGACCTACTCAGTGATCTGCACATTGTTTTCATTTAGCTGCATTTGGTCCAAGAAGAAAACTTCGAAACCACAATGATCTGCTGCTTTTTAGAGTCATTTTTCCATGGCTTTGGAAAAATATCTCAGAAACCTAAGTGAAAAAAAAAAGGGGGGGGGGTGTGTGGAGGGATAAAAAGGCATTAAAGGGCTTGTACTATTATCAAAATGTGCACATTTGGGGCAGGAGTATTCCTTTGTACAAATTAGTGATTTAGTCATGTGATTTGGAGCGGAATATGGCTTTGCTTTTTGTTTCCGTAATGTAAAACAAAGAAAAGGATCTTTACCTAAAAGGGGGGGGGGAGCTGTCACTGGTCTAGGGTCACGGGGTCCTCCCCCACCCCGCCTTTAGGATAGAAAACACTACAAAACGGTACTCATTGCTCTCTGAAATTAAGCATAAGCAGACACAGGTCACTGACAAAAGCTGGTATCCCAGGTTTTAGATGCAGCAAGACAGCCTAATTATTACTGTAGCTAGAAAGATCATTTTAAACAAATCACTGTCTCCCCCAAGTATGTAAAAGGAACAGTGATTATGATTAGTCAGCTACCACAGCATTCCCTCAATCCTATCCCAAAGAGTTTAAGCTAAAAATCTGATTTAACCTGAACTTCTCAAGTTTAAAGTGAAAGGTATAAAAATAGTACTGGAAAAGTTGGGTGAGCAGTCACTTTTTAATACTATAAAAGCAATGTAATTTTATTTAAATGCACCTTCCCAAATTCACATACAAAAAATAGTAATCAAAAATATCTAGAAAGGTTTTGAGATGAACCTTTACCAAAACGAGGGTCAAGCCTTGGGTCTAGCCAAGAGGTGGTCTTGTTCTTATGGTTTATATAGTAAATTTCTCCATCCTGAGTCATGGCTTGTTCCCATCCATCAGGAAGAGTACCTATAAATATAGAAAAAAAAAAATCATGGTTGGTTTTTATTTGGTGCACCTAAAAAAGTGGGGAGGGTACCAATTTAAAAAGAAAATACATCTTGACATAAAACAATTCATTAAAACAAAATTAAGCATGTATTCAGAGAAGAAAGGTAAACCTACATGCCAGATTCTTCTCCACTAAAAAGCAGCTACCAAATAATGAAATCTACATCCCCAAAGACACAGATGAACAACAAAAAAAGTCAGATTTAAAAAAAAAATCCATTTGGAAGTCATGAGCCAAATAATAATAATTATTATTGTTAATATAAGACACAAAGTGTTACAGTTCAGGCCACCCCCCCCCCCCCCGCCCGCCCCAAACCCTGTTTTGTGACAATACCTCCTAGGGACCACAAGGTTCTTTAACAAAGAATACACATAAGAGTGTTTTCAGAATATCTAAAGTATCATAAACATTGTTTAATATAAAGCATACTTTAGCTAAGCCTGCCAAGCTCCATTTATTTGCACTATTTATGTGATGGGCTCACATCAAGAAAACTGTAGTTCAAAAGAAGCTTATTTTTAAGCAGCCCAAAAGTTGCTAGGAGGTGGGGGTTGTGGCTGGGAGTTTAGGTTTGTCAGAGTTGTGAAACGGGGTAAGTGCTAAAACTGTTGGAAGGTAAATGTCTCAGGAAGAAGATGTGGAGTGAGGAAACAATATCTGGGAGACAAGACTAAAGAAGATAGCAAGCCTAAGATTATTCTATCTTTATGAGGGTATGGAAGCTAGACAATTGCTTTTGGTGCGCAAGAGCTATGAAAAAAGCTATTAAATCATTAAATTCGAGCATATTTCCTCCTCAATTCCTTCTTTCCCCCTTCCACTTCCCATCCCCACCAGTAATCAGGGGAGGCAAGTATCAATTGGAAATAGAGTCTAAGTAAATGTCTAAAATTTTTCTGTGAACTAACATGATTTAAGTGCTTACTATGTGCCAGGCACTGTTGTTAAGTACACTAAACACAGTAACTCATTTAATCCTATAACAACCAATGACATAGCAGCAGTATTATCTCTACTTTAATGAGGAAACTGAGGCACAGAGTGGTTCGGTCTGGTACAACTCACAAAACTAGTTAATGTCAAAGTGATACTTAAACCCAGTCACCTAATTCCTGAGCTGTTGTTCCTTATACAGCATTTCTTTTTACACATGTCCCACATCTAAGACAGAGATTGAGTATGCTTCTTGTGCAAAAGCACAAGTTCTTTCTTTCTATACTGGCAGTCCAGGACTGCCTTATGAGTGATGTTGAATAAGTAACTTTGGTAAAACAGACCATTCACACAAGCCCATGGGGCCCAAAGCCCTAATTCTAGGCCAGTTTCATTTGTATCAGGACCATTTGCTACTAAACTATTATCAAAGATTTGCTTCAACGAGGGGCAAAATCCTGTTAGGAAATACAGATATGTGAAATCCTAGAGAAGCCACTGGGGAAGACCCTCCCCCAGTCCTGGGTGTGGAGTTCTGAACACAATGCTAACCACGCCCAGAGCTGGAATTTGCTGTAAGAGATCCATGTTTTACTAAAAGATGAATGGAAGCAAACTTGTCTAACATGTAAAATAAAAACACTTTTCTCAGCAGCTTTCACTGTCACTTTGGGCTCTATCCCCCCATCAGGAAGGTAGAACCTCAAAAACTGACTATTACTAATGGTTTGTTACCACCTTTAATTATGAAGATGGCTCAACTGTAAAATGCTTTTGAAAAACAAGTAACTAAAAGTCTAAGTTCCGAAGATATGTTGATGAACAAGTCAACAGCAGTCACTGGATGCCTTTGGAAGCCTCAATTCAACAATCCCAAGACAATACAGCCTCCAAACCTGCCTGAATACATGGATTCCCTACCTTAAAACAAAAACAAAAAAACCAGTACCACCCCGATCTGCTCATCCACTCCAGCCTGTAGATTCCACTTACATTCTCTGACTGATCTGTTCCAGTCCATCTCTAAGAATTCTGCCATCAACAGACACCAGCTCTTCCTGTTCCTTACCGCTATACAGCATCCTTCCTTGGTGCCCGACCTCTCATCCCTCCCCCCACCTCAGTGTCTTCTATCTAGCACCACCAGGGTTTTCATCTTACAGTATTACCTAACCAACTTTTATATGTCATTCATTCATTGCCTTTATAAACATTTCCCTTGCTCTCTACCATCAATGGGAAAATGCCAGCTGGACTCATTTTTCTTAATGAGTCTTCTCCACATACCCAATTCCCATCCCTACTCCCACTTTCCCCAAAATTATGCCACCTCCTTGTATGTGTTGTTCCTGTTATCACATTCTGCCCCACCCCTTATAAGCTTATTCATTCTGCAAGAGAAAGAACTAAGGTGTCACCTTCTCAATGCAGCCTTCCCCGATTACCTCACACAAAATTACTAGTTTCCTCTTCTACTCTGTATTAAAATTTAACAGATAGAGTGATCATTACTTGTTTACATATCTGTCCTCCTGGCAATGACCAGGTCACTCATATATTAACTTGTAGGCTAGTAGCTGAGTAATTGCTCAATAAATATTTAATGGAAGAATGAATGTCCTGCCTTGTAATACTTTAAATGCTGTGTTCATAAATGTATTCATTTTTACAGTTTACTTAAAAATTTTTTAAATGTTTAAGAATTGAAGAAATGCATAATAGAAAAAGCAAAATTTTCTTATAAACTGACTTCTCAGAGGAAAAACTAAACAGCTTCAGTTTTGTGATAGAGTCTGGATTTTCTTGTGCACGTTCCACAACATATGCACACCCAATGATGCCATGCTCTGCCTGTACCATCCTTGCTTTATTCACTCCATGTAGCATAGTTATCTTTTCATAGGTTTCTCATTCTTTTAAATAGCTTTACAGATCTTACTGTGTGGATGTATTAGAATTCACTTATCCCTCTTCCCAGTGTTGGATATCGAAGTTGTTTTTAATTATTTTGCTGATAATAGTAGTGTCGGCAGCACCTCTACCACTCCTCGCTCCAACACTACCATCACACCACGGCAACATTATTACATCTAAATCTACACAGTGCCTCCCCAGGCTGGGCACTGTTCCTATCCCTATCATACAGATGAAACACAGGGACATTCAGAGAGCTCACTTGCCCAAGGTAAAGGAAAGATTTGAACCCAGGCAGTTCAACTTCAGAGCTTCTCATTTTAAACCATAGAATACGCTGCTTCGCAAAGATATAAATACATTCCTCAAAACTTATTATGCAGGTGTTTCCACACATTAACTTCAAAGTGCAAGAGTGACTTTATCCCTTTATACACAATTTTAAATCATTAAGTATTTTTCTTTTTTTATTTATTTATTTATTTATTTTTATCCTCACCTGAGGATATTTTTCCATATTTTGTACAGATAGAGCGAGAGGGAGAGAGAGGAAGAGAGAGAGAGAGAGAGAAACATCGATGTGAAGGGACACATCGAGTGGCTGCCACCCGCACGACCAACCAGGGCCGGGGACAAACTGCAACCGAGGTACATGCCCTTAGCGGGAACCGAACCCGGGTCTCTCCGGACCGCAGGCCGACGCTCTAACCGCTGAGCCAAACCGGCCAGGGCCATTAAGTATTTTTCATATAAGTCATATATCAAGTACTTATATAAATCACTAAGTACTTAGTATTTCACTAAAAACTACGTAAACTAAAAGTTGGGGCCCGATGGCTCAACTGGTTGGAGTGTTGTCCCTTACATCAAAAGGCTGTGGGTTTGATTCCCAGTCAGGGAGTGTATGGAAGGCAACTTATCGATGTTTCTCTCTCACATCAATATTTCCTTCTCTCTCCCCCTCTTTCTCCTCTCTCCCAAATCAATAAACATCCTCAGGTGAGAATTAAAAAAAATCAAATTCAGAAAACTTTTCACCAATACTGTTCTTATAGATCATAAACAATAAAAAAAACCCTCTAAATGCACTAATTTTAGAAATGAAGATATAAAAAAGAGAAAAGCCCAGCCCTGACTGCTTTGGCTCAGTGGTTAGAGGGTCTCGGGTTCAATTAGCAATCAAAGGGCATGTACCCAGATTGTAGGTCTGTTCCCCAACCCCAGTGGGGTCATGTGGGAGGCAACCAATCGATGTGTCCCTCTCACATTCATGTTTCTCTTTCCCTCTCTTCATCTTTCCCTTCTACTCTATCTAAAAGACAATGAAAAAATATCCTTGGGTGAGAATTAAAAAAAAAAAGATACAAGCCCAATACAAATAAACAGTGTAGCCATTACTGCCTATTCTTCACCATATTTCTAATTAAAGAAGTAAAAAATGTGCATATAAAATAATTACCATACAATTAGTTATATAAGCATTCAAATTTATAGCAAAATATATATGCTAAACAGAAAAGAATGCTTTATATATTCACTTATGCCCTTCATATAACACTCTAGTAAAAATACAAGGTGGGCAAAAGTAGATTTAGAGTTGTAATATAAATAAATAATACAATAATTAATAAATAATATAAGAATAAACTTTGGCCCATCTGGTGTGGGTCAGTGGTTGAGCATTGACCCATGTTCTAAGAGGGTGCCCATTTGATTCCTGGTCAGGACACATGCCCAGGTTGCGGGCTCTATCCCGTTTAGGGGGCGTGCAGGAGGCAACCCATCGATGTTTCTCTCTCATTTCGATGTTTCCATCTCTCTCTCTCTTCTTCTCGCTCTAAAAAAAATTAATAAAAACATATTTTAAAAAAGAATAAACTCCATGTTTTGCATACTCACAACCGTAAACCAACGTTTGCCTACCCCTGTATATTATGTGGAAAGAGATGGTCCAAAATTGGATGTTTCCTTTACATAAAACGAAAGGTAAGGATCAAAGGCAAAGGAGTAGAAGAGGAAAGATTTCTTTTAACAGCTTTGAACTACAACTGAATCCTCAGTGTTAGAAAAAGAAAACTAAAAAGAAATCTGCAACCTTAAATATGAA